AGAGAACTTTCTCCTCTTTGTTCAGAAGCACTTGCAAAATCTTTGCTTTGCTTATGTGTTAATTAATGACCATAGATGATCTGAAAGTATTTAGTCTTCTGAACAAACTGAAATATTTTAAACCTTTACGCTTACTTTGAGGGTGGAGGGAATGGAGATTAAGTTCCATCCTTAATGTTATGGAAGTTCAGTTTCATGAGATTCACCCCTACAATTAACGGATTTAAAGATAACTTTGGTTACTGTAAAAGAAATATATTTTCATAGTATCTAGTTGTGTTTAAAATGATCACCACTATTACTATTGTTGCTAAGGAGGTAGTATGATGATTGGAGTGTTTAGGTATTTATGCCTTTGAAATTTTAGATGGTACTTGTTCTGTGCCACGTTTGTTCTTTTCGGGCAAATGGCCTTTCCAGCATGCAATGAAAACCAGATTTCACTTGTTTCCCCATGCGGCTGTCTTCTATTTCACAGTAGTTCTGTTACTTGAATTGACCTTCCTAATGCTAAACAGATAATTATTATTATCATTATTAGATTCCTGGCTAACCATGCATTTGTATATTAGAATAAAATTGACTTTGGAGAGGAGTTAATGATCAAAACTATTATACTGCTAAAGAGTGTAATGTCCATTTACAACATTAGGAACAAGGTGCTATAGGCTGTCAGACATCTAGTATGTTTTTATTTGGGTAACAGATAAAAAAAAGGTAATACAAATTCTTGTGGGTAGTATTTCTAGTTAGAAAGTGGAGAGAGGCATCTGCTGACATTGTAATCTTGTATTTCCAGTTAAGTCCTGTAAATAATTGAAATACAGGATTTTAAACTGTACATTTCTAAATAAAATTGCATCCCATACTCTGATTTAACTGTAGAAGAGAGCTAATTTTTTTTAAAACTATTTGAGCCACAATCTGATTTAAGATGATTTTTTTTTTCTCTGTGATTCTGGATTGACAGCTCTGGAGACTGAAGTAGTCTTTCTTAAAACTAAATACAACAGTTCTGCAAACCTACCTTCTAGGGCACTGCCCTCCCCCTGCCCCCGACTGTCTCCCACAAGCTTCCTTCTCAGAAGAATAGGATTTTTCTCCTTGATTCTTTCAGTCTTGCATCTTCTTAGATACTTTACAGTTAAGAATGGAGTTCTTAAGACCCCCTCATGGAAAAAGATGTGTAGCTGTCATTGACAGTGTAATAAGTTGTCTAAGAAGATAGGGTCAAAATTTGAATTAGTCAACTGAGGAGACAAAAAACTTCCTCTTTTTTTTTTGTCTAACACTGCAGAAAGATCCAGTAGCTCCAGGCATAAGCTACAAGAATCTTCATCTGCATTCTTTCTTTCCTGCTTAAATTTGAATGTATCTTGGTAAATCCAGTTCTGGGTCTTTTTATGCTCAAAGTCAGAACAGGATTTACTGAGATGCATTACCGAGATCCAAGAAAGATTCTTAAAGGTTGATGCTGTGACTTTATTTGCTGTTACTTCTGTAGAAAGTTGATCTTCAGCAGCAGATGTGACACTTCTGGTTATTTATCATGTACTCCAGTAGTTCTCAAACTTCAGAGCTTGGATAAATACTCTGTGGAACCATATAATTTTCATAGTGTTTTAAATCTAGGGGTACAGGAACAGCCTACAGTGGTCTGTAGAAGTTCTTGTGGTCTGGAATGTTTGTGAGCTACTGAGTTTGTTGTACCTCGGTCACATATTCAAATTTGTCCTCAGTTTCTGAAAGCTCACACTAACTCAGAGGATATTTCTGTCAATGGGACATGCTTATATTTTCAAGGAAGTTTTTGGTTTTGCTTCACACTTTAAGGGCTCTTCAAGAGTGTTTAGAGTTACTGGACTGTGTCCATACACTTATTTTCTTTTACACATGGGTTTTAGTTTGTAATTCTCACTAAAATGTTTGGTGGGTAAAACCTGGTGGTCTTCTAAATGGTGTAATCTTACTCCAATATCTCTTTTTCCAGATGGTCCTCTTCCTGACCCAACCCTGATACGTGCTAATGTGCCAAACCAGATGATGAATCGCATGCAAGCACAGCCAGGTAAATATTTGAAGAAAATTCGCTACTTTGGTTTTGAAGGAATCTTGGAATTGGGCAGCTCTTGCTGAAGTGTCATAGCCTTTATTTCACCTGCAGTTTTCCCATTTGATTAAGAAAACAGCTATCTATATTGTGTAATACTTACATAACGATATATATAAAAAACTACGTATCTCTCTTTAATAGCATTTCATGATCTTGTGAATTTAAGAGCTGCGCATTAGCTGCTTGATTTGTTAAATAAAGAACTTGATGCTTTTGGAACTTGTGGTTGTGTGAACACAGGATGGTGGAGTCAGTCACACATGGTGGGCCTCGCCAGCTTAGGTGAGGACATGGTGGTGGTAGAGGGAAGATGGTGAGAGTTATTGCTCAGAAGGAAGGGGCAGAACCTTTGCTACATATTCAAGAAGTATTGCAGCCAACATACAGTGTACTTAAGGAAGTGAACATACAATTTGGGATTCTATAAGTGAATTTCTAATATGTAGTTAAGATAATGCAACTTTCCTGTAGAAAGTTGATCTTCAGCAGTAGATGTGACACTTTTGGTTATTTATCATGTGCTCCAGTAGTTCTCAAACTTCAGAGCTTTGATAACAGTGGAAACAAGTTGGGGGGGGGGGGGGGTGGGGGTTAAACTAGTCTGTGTTCTGAAGGAGTATGGTAGCTTGGACACTAAATATAAAGTTATTTCACGTAGCTGGTTGATAGAAGGAAATACTTCCTTTATAGCATTGCATGCTTGAAAACTGGTTGCTAGATAACAAAGTTAGGAAGAAACCGACAGCATTTCTTCCCCAAATGTTAAACGGTGCCCAAAGGAGAATTCAGGCCTTTGTTTATAAGTGTTTTTTTTGGCACAAACGTACAGGAATGAATCAGTTTGGCCAGATGAACATGCAGCTGTCACCGATGGGACCCCGGCAAACCCCTCCTCTTCAGCACCCTGGACAGCTAAGCCAGGCTGGGGCCATGAACCAGGTCAGTGTGTGCTCCGCTTCTCTTGGCTGTGGTTTCCTTAAAATAAATAAATAAAAGACAGTTTAAAAAAGCAAGCATTATTTCTTCATTCTCTTGACCCTTTGGTTCCTCCTTTTGCATCTCTACTGAAAGATTTGTCTGGTCTATGGTAAGCCTTTAGATCTTGGTGATAAAAATTGGCTAAAAATTAAGTGGCTTTTTGTGCTGTTACATCCTTAAAACAAGGAACAAAAATAAATCTTAAGTCACAGTCCCATCCTGAGATCAATATCCTTTTCCTTAGCTTACAAGAGAAATCATCGTAATTTCTGTCTTTTGAGAGGAGTTGTAAGCAGGCTTTGCATATTGTATCCTACAGATAAGTGGCAAGCATTGATTTCTGCAACAAGATAAAGGATTTTATTTTTTTTTTTGTAAAATGTTATGGAGGTTTACACACATTGTGTGAAATGAATTCCTTTCTTTTCCAACAGATGGGATTTCCTTCACGTATGCAGCAACCAGGAGTTGGCCAGCCTTCTGGTCAGAGTCAGTTTCTACAACAGACCCAGTTCCCTGCTTCTTCCCCAGGAATGAACACGGCGAGCATGCCTATGACTCAGCCTGGCAATCAGACACCAGTTTCTCAAGTAAGTTTCTGAGTTCTGGAAGTGGTGTCAGTGGGCCTTGTCATATAGTGGTTTCGTTGTTCAGTTTGTAGAAATGGAGAAAAACTCGTTTTCTCAAGATGCTTTTGGAATTATAGTCAACCGAATTCATTTATTGAGACTCCTGATGTAGCACTGGGAATGGCAAGGGTGAAACATTGTTGGCTTGTTCTCAGGCTTAAGTTTGAGTGTGACAGAGGAATTTTTAAGTTTGTTTTTATGGACCAAAGAAGAAATCTTTACTCAGCATGCAGTAGTTAAGAATTTCATGCTGAACAGCGAAGCTGCAGAGCCTGAGAAATTAAGAGATGGTGGAATAAGTCATAAAAAGGCATGTCTATCCAAGACGAATGTGCGTTGCTGACTTTGGGGGATAGGAGGGTTATCGCTACTAAAGATCTGAACTTACAGTCTAGCAGTTTCCTTTCTGTCCTTTCCCTCTCCCTTTTCAGCAAGAACCTTTCAGGCCAGGAAGAAGTAGGGAACGTCAGTTTGCTTCTCGTTGATGCTTCTTCCTAGTTTGCAGGCAAGATTATTGTGGAGTGACAGCTTTTCTCCTTGACCAAGACAATTTTTTTGTAATCCCATAATGGTACAGTTACAGCTGTACTTATTTCTGATGATAAATTCAATTTCAAGTCTTGGGGGTGGGGGCATGGGCACACTAAGTGTATTTGAATGCAATTTTTCACTGTGGTGCATTGTCCCATATTCAGGATGTGCAAATCTAGTTTTAGAAAGAAATGTTACGCGAACTGGGAGCGTAGGTGTGCCATTCTTTAAATATGTCAACACATATAAGTTATTCTATTGAAACTCCTCTTTTAGAGCTGAATAAGTTATAAAACAGCTTTATGTTCGTGTGGAGTAGAATAAATCAAATAGACTATTTCTCCTTTTGAAATAGAGTTTTTAAAAACAGAACAGATGATTTGTCACATTTTTAAAAGTATGCCAGTAACTGTGGGAAAACAGCCATTTGACAGTAATTTCTCTCACTTTTCTACTTTGAGTATTTGCAAATGCATCCTTGTTTTCACACAGGCACAAATGACCAGTGCTTCCTGTCCTGTGAATTCTCCTGCAATGGCTCCAGGTTCTCAAGGGAGCCATATTCACTGCCCACCTCTTCCACAGCCTCCCATGCACCGAAATTCTCCTTCACCAGTACCTAGCCGAACCCCAACACCTCACCACACGCCCCCAGGTTTGGGATCGCAGCAACAGCAGGCAGCAGCAGCTGCCACTACTGCCCCAACACCTACTCCTCAGGCAATGCCACCTGGACCACAATCACAAACTATGCATCCCCCTCAAAGGCAGACTCCAACGCCTCCGCAGGCACAGCTGCCTCCACAAGTCCAGCCTCCAGTTCCAGTTACCCCTTCTGCAGAGCAACAGCAGCAACCCTTGTCGCAGCAGAGCACAACTGCATCTGTTCCCACACCAACAGCACCGCTGCAGCCTCAACACCCCACAACACCTGTAAGGAAATACTTTGAGTGTGCTTTCCCTGCAAATGCTTAAGCGTAAGGTTTAATTTTCAGTTGGTCTTGTATTTTTGTGCGAGGCAGTGATGACGGAGGTAGCTACTGGCACGTTTAATACCAAAAAAGGTGGGGTGTGTTTTTTGCGTTTGGGAACTAACCTTTTTTGCATCAAGACAAGTCTGTAGATCATCTGGTGTTTCCAGAGAGGGAATATTTTTCAGAATTTCAGTGCACGTTTTGAAATTCACTGTGAAACATGGATGAGATCTTTAGTTATGTCTACATATGCATAGCAGTTCTGTACAGTAGGGAAACACTATGTCATTTTCTATATACTAAGCCTTCCAGTGCATGTTTCTGTGGCATGTTTTTCTATAATTGGGGTTGTGCAGCAGTATGTTCTTCAGGTGAAGCAAGTAGAAGGACTGGAGTGCCTTTAAACTTGGTGGAAATGTAATATAAGTAAAAGGTAGATTACAGAAAGAAAAATAAGTTCATTAGAAACCTATTTGTAATGTGTCTGTTGTTCCCTCAGCTTTCACAGCCAGCCGTAAGCATTGATGGGCAGGTATCCAACCCCCCATCCACCAGCAGCACAGAGGTGAACTCTCAGCAGACTGTTCCAGAGCAGCAGCAGCCACCCTTGCAGGAAGTGAAAATGGATATTAAAACAGATGAAGGGGAACCAGAACAAACAGAGCTGCAAATGGAGGAGAAATCTGAGGTAAGATTGTCGGCCAGTTGTTGGTTGGGTAGAATATCTAGTGCTGCTGGATGCTTTCTGTCTCCATGCAAGCCATTCCTTCCAGAGTTCAATGAGAGCTGTAGATGCTACTGCTATTTTGATTGTTGTCTTCCTCTACTTCTTCCTACAGAAAGGTCTCTGTTTTCTGGTGAAGTGGTGGTAGAAGCTAGTGGCTGCAGGAAGGACCATGATAATGTGGTTGCAGCTGTGGGGCTTTTTGGTAAATGCCAATGTAAGAAGGCACTCGGGTCAGTCCTTTAGATGTCATTGGCAGCTGTTAGATGTTAGAATAGCAGATATTAGGAGAAGAGGAAACAGCCTCAAGTTGTGCCAGGGGAGGTTTAGGTTGGCTATTAGGAAAAATTATTCACCGAAAGGGTTATCAGGCATTAGAACAGGCTGCCCAGGGAGGTGGTGGAGTCACCATTCCTGGAGGCATTTAAAAGATGTGTAGGTGTGGTGCTTAGGGACATGGTTTAAGTGGTGGGCTTGGCAGTGTTAGATTTGTGGTTGGACTTGATCTTAAAGGTCTTCTCCAACATAAATGATTCTATGGTTCTATATGTACATGATGGGCTGCTTTACCGGGCTCTAACAACTTGTCCTTGAGAACAGCTAGGAGTGTGACTGCCAGTAGCGTCATCCTGGCAGCCCCAGTGTGAAGAGAAGAGCTGGATGAGTACCTGTGTGTCTACTTGCAGCTCAGAACTGGTTAGCAGCTCATCATTGCTTCTACTGCAGTGTTTACAGATGCCTTCTGGCACATCTGTTCAAGTTTTAGGCAAATTTTGACTGCAAAGTAAATACCCTTAACCCTAGGGAGAGTGGTGGACAGGATGGCAGGTAGATTTAAAGGACAGAAACATGGACGGATGACTTCATAGGAGACTAAGTGACAGGCTCCAAACTACCTTCCAGGTTAAAGTAGAACCCGTCATGGAGGAATGTAAACCAGACCCAATGGAGCAAGAAGAGAAGAAATCCGAAGTGAAGACTGAAGTACCAGAGGGGGAGGAAAGACCTACTACTCCAGCTACTCAGTCTTCTCCAGCAGCTGGGCAGTCCAAGAAAAAAAGTAAGCAGGAACACTGTTTTGACTGAAACTCACTGTGTCTCCCTAGAGAAATTTTTTGGGGGGAAAAAACCCTGAGCTTTCTTCATTGGTACTCAGTAGGCTTATATGGATTGTTCTTTGTGGCTTTTGGACAAAAATATCTAATAATACATGTGCTTGTGATTGGCTTTGGGCAAGTTCTTTAAGGCTTTGGTATTAGACATTAATTAAGCCTTTAGTAAAATTATCAGTACAATAGAGATCTGAAATACTCGTAAGTTACAGATTTTCTAGACAGGTTTTTTCTTGGGACCTCAGAGAGGGGCCGTATTTGGAATGTAAACTGACTCTGTTAAATTTAGCAGTGTCTTCCTATGATAAAAACAAGATTTACTTTAATATTTTGACCATCTCCTTGTGTCCAGGTGATCATTTTAATATCTTCCTCAGAACTCGGTGTCGCAGAGGATAAACAAGCCATGCTACGTACCTTAAACCCATTGTCTGTAGACTTTTTCCACAGACCTCACATTTTCCAGCAGGTTTCTTCCTTACAGCTGTTTCTGCTATCTTTCTAATGTTGATTGTTTTTCAAAGTTTTCAAGCCAGAAGAGTTGCGGCAGGCGCTTATGCCAACACTGGAGGCACTTTACCGTCAGGATCCCGAGTCTCTTCCATTTAGACAGCCTGTGGATCCCCAACTACTAGGAATTCCTGTGAGTGTTCTAGCAAGATACAGTAGTTTTGAATTAAAGCCAGGAAAGTATTATGATATACCTGTTTGAGAACAGCTTAAGTCTATCTTGTTAACACTTTTATATTGATGCATTTGAAGAGGTTTAGCTTAGGCAGTGGAATGTACAATGTCTCACTTAGGATTCAAAAGTTGGTTTGCTTCTGTGTTCTTTTGATAAATAAGCAGGTATACCATGCATTAAAGTGATTGCCAACAGATCCCCAGTGCTGTGTGGGGTTTTTATGGGTATTGCTTCATGTTGTGATGCTTCTATTGCTGAATTCTGTAGGTATTTCTCATCATATATAAAACTTGGCTGGGGAAATTAAGCAGATCAAGACCACTTTAAAAAAAAAAAATAAAAATCTGTCAATGATTATTTATCTGTTATAAGCAAGGAAGAGACTATTCAAAGTATAGTTTTTGTTTAGGTCAAATTTTCTGCTTGTTTTAGTAATGTCTTCTAAAGACATTACTATCCTTCAAGGATCTGTGTTTTAAACTCTGTGGATTGACCACACAAATTTACTATTTATACATAAATATGTATACATTGAAGTCCTGCTTAGGTGCTTTGGGCAACGTTTTTTGCCTGAAAGATTTTTTTTTTTTGGTTTGTTTTTAGGATAGACACTATAAAAATTCAAAGCCTGCAGTATTATAAGCAGGCATAAGTATTGTTAATATTCTTTAATTGGCTATCATATTCTGAGGACTTTTGTAGGAGAAGTGATCCCATAACTGATGGGGGGGGATTGGAAAAAGGCATTCTTTAGAGGAGACATGATACCTTTTATCATCTAACAAAGTTACTTCTTTTTGTTTGTTAGGTTGTCTGGTCTACTAAAAACAGTTGCTTTCTGTTAATGCTCTTGTGTATATCCTCAGATCACAGTGGCTGCAAAAACATTGCCATTTCCTACTTTGTTTAATTCCTGTTTTGCTGCCTAAAATTAGAGTGGCTTTATTTCATCAGGAGTGGAAGAGCAATAGAGCCTGAGAAATAAAGGAATAATGAAAAGAAAGCACTGGGGAGAGATATGGTGTTACTTACAGATTTCATTGTATGTCACAAGCGGTTTGACAATCAAGTCAGGGAGGAACCTGTTTTTCTTGACGTACTGCAGAAGAGTTTATATGCTGAGAATGCGCATGCTGTCATGTCACAACATAGTTCTGTGGTAGTGTTTTGATCTGCTGCGTATTCTTGCAGGATTATTTTGACATAGTGAAGAACCCCATGGACCTTTCTACTATCAAGAGGAAGCTAGACACAGGACAGTATCAGGAACCGTGGCAATATGTAGATGACATCTGGCTCATGTTCAATAATGCCTGGCTGTATAACCGCAAAACATCCCGGGTATATAAGTACTGTTCCAAGCTGGCAGAGGTGTTTGAGCAAGAAATTGACCCAGTTATGCAGAGCCTTGGTTATTGCTGTGGAAGAAAGGTAAGAAAATAAATATTTTCAGTCTACTACTTGCTTCTGGTATTGAAAGGAGAAAAATACAGCAGTTGCAGTTGTTAGCAGTTACAGTGTGTCAGTTTTTGAAAGTTTACAGGATTTGGCAATCCTCTGATTTTGAGGTTTTTATGAATCTTCTAATTCTATCTAGTGCTTAAACCATCTATTTGTATATAAGCCCTCGGGGGGGAAAAGAAGTCAGTAACTGAAGGCTTATTTTGATTAGGGCAAACCCTTTTGCTGTTGCGAATTAAACAGACGTGATTTTGTTACTCCGGAAGAAGTACTCTCTTATTTCACTGTGTATTGAGACTGTGTATTTCCATTGTCTTGTTTTGATACACTTTCCATCTTTGGAGAAGACCTAACTGGAGAATAACAGCCCACTGAACACTTCTTATGACTAGCACTTTATACACTTGCTATGCTGTGAGATCTGTGCCTAGAATAAGGTGGAAATGATGGTTGTCTGCGTCACACTTGCTTCCTATGGAGAGCAAGTGAAAACACGTATGAGTACTAAGACGACCCATTCCTCTTTGCAGTTGGAGTTCTCACCGCAGACTTTGTGTTGCTATGGCAAACAGCTATGCACAATCCCTCGAGATGCCACTTACTACAGTTACCAGAACAGGTAAGGAAAACTCACTTGGTGTGCTTTTGTGCATGCTGCAATCAGTCTGTTAAAGGCGTGCATGTATTTACATATACACCCTCTTTATATGTGTACACCTTTGTGTTTTAAGATAAAAATTTGCTGGAAGAGCCCTCGAATAGTTTACCTTGTGTGTTAATGATTTCGTTGTACAAAAGTTCACTGCAGCCTTTACTCTTCCTCTTTTGTTTGCGGAAACATGATATTTTACTACATTTTTATCCTGCAGTTAATTAAATCTTCAGTTATGTACAAATCACATATACAAGTCTGTTGTCTCTGCTTCCTACTGTGCAGCAGTATTTTTCATGCAGAACGCTGAGTAAACTGTGCAGCAAGTATATTGATGCTCGTAATACATATTATACTTGGCAAGTCTTTGTTTTTCTCAAGATGTTGACACTGAAGAGCAAACTTATTTTTGTGATGCACCTCTTGTGCGTGTACTCACAAGATGCGTGTACTCACATCTTCAGTAGATTGGTGCTGGCTTTTTCTCCCGAAATTTCCTTAAGGGAGCTGTCTTGCAGTAGCTGTCAGCAGCTCTGTAGAGTGCTGTCACTTCTACAGCTCTTTTGAATAATTGTTTTTGACTTGGGGTTTATTAAAGGATTTAAACCTATTTGACTTCTGAAAGATTTCTTGCTAGGCATCTCTCTGCCAACTGGGGAGACGCGAGGCAGGAGGAAGCAGGGAAATACGTGCTTTAACTCTCCCATGTCCCCTGGCCTGCCACCAGAATGCACATGTCAAAGCAGGAGGCTGGTTACCTCCAGACTATGTCACCTCCATCAATTTAATTCCTGCTCTCTGTTCTTTCCAACACTGTAAACAAAAAAAACCCCACCCTAGAACAACAAAAACGCTAAGGCTTTTACCTGAAAACCAGGAAGATTTTGCAAGAATTGTAGTTTTCTTAAGCACTTGGTCAGGTGAAAGCAGCCAAAGAGCTACAGGAGTTACATCTTAACCTTCTTAGGCTTCATAAAGGTTTACAGCAGTGAGTGGAGGTTTTCAGGAGTGAAGAAATAGAAAATAAGCTTGTAGTATCCCATAATAACTATTGTAGTTTTAGACGTACATAGTATAGAGCTTTTCATATCATGTCAGTATCTTCTGCTTATATTTATCGATGGGCAAGCACTAGGTGGACCAAAAGACTATTATTCGAAAGATCTGACATGCTTTACACGTTTTCAAACATTAGAAGTGAATGTTTGCACTATAACAAGTGTGTAAGTGTGACTTGTGAATTACATTATATACGCACATAGAGATATATCTATAGACTGAAATGTACAATTCCAGAAGGACTGTTCTCTGCGTTATCTCCAATGAAAACTGGGAGAGAGGGTTGAGACCTGTCTTTTTAGCCTAACAGCTGCTCTAGTGTTGGTTTGTGCGGCTTTATAATGAACTTGTTTGAATTTTCTTGTATTTATTTTTAGATAGTCTTGTGCACTCAATTAACATGCCTTAGTAATGGAGAGGCCACAGTTTTAGAACATTTTTGAGGGCTAGGGTAGAATCTTGAATTAATCACTTTTATTCAAGTGGAAATGAAATCTTTCTGTGCAATGCTTGCTGTATTGATGCCTGGATTGTTGTACACTCAAACTGGGCTATGGCAGAATCATATCAACATAGAGCATTGTGTGTGTAGCTGATGTTAGGTATTTAGTTAACATATGGTGTGATAGTTCTGTAACTAGTGTCTGTGAGATTTTTGAGGACAGAATTTTTTGTTCTTGAAGCTTCTGATGTTTAGCTTTCCCTTTCAACTGGGAGAGAATCCTGTGGCCTTTCAGCGTTTATACATTTAAGATGGAAGACTATCCCTCTTCCATTGATCTCCTGCAGATCCTCCTGCCAACAGAACTGCTGTGCTGATGTACAAGTCAGAGTAGCAGTTTTTCCTTCCTTCTGCTCTTTCCCCTTTCTCATTTTAATTCTTTGCTGTACGTGGCATGGATTATTAAAATGAAGAGGGTGTGGGTATGCTAAAATGGAATACACTTGTTTAATTTGCTTTAATCATTTGCTGCTTGTGAACCCATTTGAGAGATTTAATGCTAATCTGTGCTTTGCCTTGGCTTTCTGCTTTGTGTTGTCTTGTCCTGCTTCTATGTTTTTGTTTTTGTCCTGCAAACCCCCATTTCTTTGTTTGTTCGTGTGTGTGTTATTTTTTATTTCTCCTTCATGCTTGTCATTGTCTGCACTTGGCTTTGATTGCGCAAAAAAAAAAAAACCACAAACCAAAAAAACACCAAACCCAAAAAACCAAACCAACCAAACACAATGTGGGGCTCATAAATCTGCATCATTGAATATCCTTGTCGCCGGTGATGACCTGCTCTCTGCTCCTGTCCCTTCCTTGGCCTGCTGTGATTGGTGGCTCCGTTGCTTGACTTGGGCTGTGTTGTGTGGACGGAGCAGTTCACCCAAATATGGCCTTCTTGCTGACAGGTATCATTTCTGTGAGAAGTGCTTCAACGAAATCCAAGGAGAGAGCGTTTCTCTGGGAGATGACCCGTCGCAACCTCAAACGTGAGTTATTTGTGTTTGCTTGGGCCATGCATTTGTAAGCTGGGTCTATACTGCTTTCTCAAAGGGAAGGAGTTTAGTTTTAGGTAACCCTCACTGTTTGTAGACTAGTAGAAAGTGGGCCAGATATTCTTCATAAAAACCTGGACTTGTGCTGTAGATTTTTTTCCTTTAAAATCTGGACTGACTGAACTATAGTGAAAAAAGAGCACTTAGTGCTTAAAATTGCAACTATACCAGTAGAGGGGAAAGAAGAGAATGACATTTTTTCTGAAAAAAATGTGGAAATACTCTACTACAGAAAAATAACTATACCTGCAGGCAGGTAGGTTACATGTATTCTATTTATAGATTGGATATGCTGTTAAACTTCTGATCTGGATGAAAAAATCTGAAGCAGGCAACCTCCTTCTGCCATACAAATATTTTACTGTTGGAGTGCCATCCGCTTATGAGAAATGTTGTGCAGTTGTTGAGGAGATCATGGTAAAAGGCTACGCATGGATTTAGTTGCCTTTTCCATGCTGATGGCAAACATGTCTTTCATTCTGCTGTACCCTTCTCACATGTCCCCATAAAAATCTTGAAGCAGAGTTTTCGGAGACTAAGGAAGCCCTTGAGGGACAGATGAGTGCCAAGCAGTTACTCGTTGAGCTGTTGAAGAAAGCTCTTTGGGGGAGGGCCTTGCAGGAACACTGCAGATAGAAGCAGGAGAAAAACTTAGGAAAGTCTAAAGCTGGGGGAGAGGTGTCGATGTTGGTAGTTGAACAAACTGAGTTAACTTTCATTGGAAGTAGAAGTTGTCTTTAGCAGCATGTTACCAAATCCTGGTGGTGCCAATGGATGTATCTAGAACAGTAGTGAAAGAATCCGTTGGGGCTTGGGACAATGTAAAAGTACATCTGCCTTTCTGGAAGGAAAAAGGAAGAAATAATGTTCGTAATGATCAGTACAGTGGGCCATGACCTGGTGGATAGTATGGATTCTACTCTAGTAGAAGCAAAGATCCAAAGTTTAATCAATATTGTCCAGTTTTGTTAATATGAGATGTGGGATATGAAGTACTTGCATATAAGAGAAGCAAGTATCTATATACATGTAAATCTGTGTATAAATAAATACCAAATATATTCATGTTTATATATAAATTTTTGTTTAGCTGCTGAGAGAGTACGCTCTTTCTCATACACATGAGTTGGGATGGTTTGCCACAAACCTTTGGGTCGGGGTAGAAGGCAGCATAGAGTGCTTCTGATTTTTATACTAGATTTGGAAACACAGATGCTGGATACAATTATTTTTTTTTCCCAACAATGAAAACAATCAAAAACTCATTGAACACAAGCAATGGTAAGAAGGTACTTCCAGCTCCTGGTATTTTTTTCATAGCGGGTTTAAATGCTTGGTGGTTGTGTAGTGAAAGTGGAGGCTGTAGGCTGCACATGAGGAGCAAGTACACTTTTGAATGTTCTCTCACTCACAGGCTTTCTCTTAAGAACTCATTTTACTGGGGCATAGAGATCCTGCTCCCTTCCTCTCTTCTCACAACCTGTAGTTAAAATGAACAAAAGCAAAAAAGATTAGGAATATATATGTCAGGTCCTATTTACAGTTGTACTCACTATATTTATAAGAGGAGTTCGAGGTAATTGAGAGATTGAACTTTCCTCATTTATCTGATAAGGAGCTTGAAGTAGTCTGCAGGTAGCACTTTTCAGAATAAACACTGAAATAAAAGGATAGGAAGGTTAATGCACCTCATGCAGGTTGGTTTGAATCTCTGCCGTTGCTTCTCAGAGAGGCATGTACTGATCTTTTCATGTTATACAGCACCCTCTTTGGGGTAAATTCTCAGAGATCCGAGTGTTCTTGTATGATTGTTCTGGACTATTGTGAACCAGATTGATGTAAATGGTACTTGGGACCTCACTGTCAAAAAGGTGGAATTTCTAGCCTTGCAAATGCTGTAGGGAAGGTTAAGACAGTGTAGAGTAATGGCTGGGCTGGGGCTGCAGGGTTTGGAAGCTGAAATTTATCCTTTGAAATTAATCTAGGAGGAGGGCTAGGGGAATCTGAAATAAGATAACCTACCTTTCTCAGTAATCAAAGATAATTGGAATTCTCTGCCTTCAGAATATCAGAGAGGCCCATCAAATAGTCCTTTGACTATGAAATACTAATCAGACTGGTCCAAAACTTGAACGTCAGCAAGTTCTACCATTTATCCTGGAGTAAAACTGAGTAAGGGAGCAATGTGGTTCTCTACAAGCTATTGTCCCATAGAAAAGGATGTTTTCCACAGGCAGAGTCAAGGGTGGCATATACTTTACTTGTCTGTCACTTTGTGAAATGCAGCTCCTTTCCTTGTAGTGCCAGCAAGTGTTTAAAAAAGAAAAATCTGTTTACAAGTTTTGTCTTGGTGTGTGGATATGTGTGGTATGGCATGAATGTATGTTGTCTTGTGTTAAAACTGAGTTTTATTGCCTGTTTCTCCGTAGCACGATAAACAAAGAACAGTTTTCAAAAAGGAAAAATGATACACTGGACCCTGAACTGTAAGTAATGCTGTCACTCTTTGAATGATCCTCGTTTCATTATGATTATTTTGTAAAAGACATGTTACTCATTCACCATCAGCTTTGCTTTTTCAGTGTTTTCCAAATTTCATGTAGCTCTGTTAGCCAGCAGGGGCTGCTCACTAAGCAGCATATCTGGCATTCTGTGCTGAGAACCCAAACCACTGCAGCTGTGCTTGAGAAATATGTCACGCTGTATGGGCCGAAATTATTGCATTTTGTTGTGTTGAATGTGGATTCAACAAAAGGGTTGAATGCAGATAACTCTGCTTTGAAACCCTGTCGTGGCAAACGCTGGTATCTCAGAACTGTTTTGAGTCATTTGGCAGTAGTTCTTTTGGTGCTGTTGGCTTTTCTAGTTGTCATATTTTACAGGCAGCTGTAGTAGAAGGAAAAGTTGTTAAATTTGAATCAGCCGGTTCTTCTACACTGCTCTGAAAGCAGAACCGTAGGCATTCAGTAAAGATGATGGTGACTCAGCTGCTTTTCTCTATGTTCCTGAGGGGTTTTTTTGAAGCCACTTTACATGGTCCTGCATTATACACCTATGCTGCTACTCTGCAAACGTTATCTTTATTCTCAAATGAATGCACAAAAAGGATTATGTATCCTTCCCACACCATCCTTCTAAGGGCATAAGGGTCAGCCAGTTCTTTTGTTTTACAAGGGCTGTGGGAAGGAGAGAATAGTAGCTTGATTCATAACTTTTCTTTCCCTTTGTTATAGTGAAGATACAGCCTAATGCTAGAATACAAGCCTAACTTACAGTACGATACCATATGCTCTACATAAATGACAGCTATTAATTCAAAGTCTCAGACTCTTATAAACAGACATGCTCAAAAGGAGTCAGATTGTCCTGATACATGAAGCAACCTTAGGTATTTTGGAGAATGATATTCACCAACATCTGTGAAGTAGACCATATCACTTAGCCCGGTTGTCCTTAAATCTCTGCTAGTCTTCTGAAAGTCACTTTGATACTGCTTCTGTCTTCTTCCTTCCCACCTTTCTGCAGTATGTTTGCAATGTACCCCAGGCTTCAAACATAGTGGGGCAACTAACAACCAACTGTTTCTCCTGGTTCTTTGCTTCTTGTGGGATTCACAGGGAGTGTTGCGAGCGACCTTGAACAATTCAACATAGCCTTGAAGGAAATAGTCTGAGAAAGCAAGTAATGAAGCAAGCGCAGAAAGGGAGCTGAAGATAAACATGTTTTGAAGCACAGCTGTGAGACCAAAACTAGATGATGTGTGTCTTGATTAACAGCACCAATTAAAAGCTTAGCCACAGCGCGTGGACAGCAGGGGTTAACCAATCCATGAACAAACCAGAGCGTGTGGACACCTAGTGAATCTATATAAGCACAAACTTGTAAACAACAATGGTCTCTGGTTTTACCCACGCCGGAGTCCGTGAATCCATCCCTACAGCTTCTGACACCCGTGAATCCATTTTCCTCTCTTCATCATAGCAACAAGCAGTTTACAGATTTTACCCTTAGAAGGGCTTCACTTTAGAAAAAATGAGTCAAGTGGATGGCAGTAAGGCAAGCAAATGGCGATAATCGTGCGTCCCTGCATAGTCTACCTGACTCGAGCTGGCAGATGAGGCTGTTCTCAGCATAGATGTGCTGTCTATGTTAAATAGGCTCCAGAGCCTAGAACTCTTCTAATAAACTATTACAAAATATACAAGCAAGTAATGATACTACTAACCTTGCTTCCCTTTGCCCTTTTTTTCCTTCTACAGATTTGTTGAATGTATAGAGTGTGGAAGAAAAATGCACCAGATCTGTGTTCTTCATAATGAGATAATCTGGCCTTCTGGGTGAGGAATTTCTCCTTTTTCTTAAGCAGAGAGTATACAATAGATTTACTAGTTACTGCATAAAGTTCCTTGTATTTGTTATATTTAAGAGTGTCTAATGGAAGAAGTTGCATTCTGACCTGAAAATTTTACAGAATCTATAGGGTAACATCAAATTTAGACATTGGATCTTACTGTGTTGTGTGAAGTTGTTTCTAAGCTTAAATGTTTCTAACATTCCTTTGTGTGGAAGAGGGCCTTTCAGCCTTATGTTTCAGCCTTTTATGTTTAAAGACACTAGTCCTTCATAAAAATATTTTTTTAGTTCAAGTAACAATTTCATACTGATCCATGTTCTGTACAAATCATATTGCTTTGTCATCTTCAAAAAAATTCTGTAACAACTGAAGAATTTTTAACAGGTGAATTCACTTTTTTGGCCTCAGTGTTCAGATTAAATCTGAAAAATAATCTAGTCTTTAGATATTCCATAGTTTTTGATCAACATACTAGGTTTTCTTCTGATTGCTTTAAAAGCTTTTAAAAAAAACTGGTAAATTATATGTAGATAAAGCTCTGTAAGAACTTAAATGTTTCCTTTTTTGACAAGAAAGGAAACAACTTTTACCATTCTGTCCCATCCACATTGCTGCAAAAGATGGTAGACATCCTGTAAGTGAGGAGGAATCTACCCATCGTTTCCTGCTACAGTGTACTTGGGGGTTTAGGGAAAAAAATCAGCCTTTTGATTTATGTGTTGCGGTATCTCATCTTCACCAGGGACAGCAGTTTTGAGACTCTTTGTTCCAAGAATACTTTAAGCCAATATTGTTAGACCAGCCAGTGGAGACCCTGTTTCCTGGGCTTGCAGGTGGTGACATGGGTTGACTGACAGGAGGTGCCCCCTTTGGAGCTTAGATCCTCCTCTGCAGCTCTGAAATAGTTGGGCTGTTTCTGCTGGCACTGTTCTTGGTGCTGTCTTTTAGTTCAAGTTTCAGTTATGGTATTTTCCAGGCCAGATAAGATCTGGTGAAAGATTTTTGCTTCTAATGGTAAGATGCTAAGAAACTTTACAGACTAACTTGGGGTGGTTTTTCACTTTCTTGTATTTTTGCTTCAGCTTTGTCTGTGATGGTTGCCTAAAGAAAACAGGACGAACCAGGAAAGAGAACAAATTCTCTGCTAAAAGTAAGATTCTAACACTTGCACCAACAAATCTTAAATAATTTGTTAAGAATGGGGAAGAGGTGGCTTTTATACTGGTTTTGCATTTATTTCAGATTTTTTGAGTATTTCTGATAACATGTTCAAGTCACCGTGACTACTGCTGCTCTTAAAGGCAAGCTGGTTTGAAGGCAGTGTAGGAGGAAGTTTGTGCAGTCATTGTCCATCTGTTCTGTAGACAAAATAAGTCTTTCAGAAGCTTCATAACTTGGTGTACTTCTTAGAGATAGTGAATGTTTACATTTCTGCTTAAAAAAAATAAAAATCCCCAGCCAGCCAATAGCATCAAGATTCAGCAAACCATTCAATGAATGGTTTCAGCATCTGAGCCTTTTTCCAAAACCAAAACTCCTAGATTTGCTAAGAATACAGGAAGAATACAAGGGTTCTTTTACAGTTTTTATCAGTTTTTGTTTCTAGCAACATGTAAGTATTGCATGCTGAATGTAGTCGAGTGATACTTTACTGAAAGGTGTCAAATTGGAAAACTGAAAAGCGGGTTGGCAGATACGTAACTCTACCAGAGGTAATGGACAGCAATGAGAGGGGCCCTGTTACGCCGGAACTCTTAAAGTCCCTTTCAGCTTTAGGTTTTTGTCAGTGGGTGTTATGCTTGTACTTCTTTTGTATGAAGGTTGGTTGAAAATGAGCAGCTTTAAAACCAACTGTGTTACTTGCAGATACATTGTATTTAGTTGTGCTTTCCATCACTGAAATACATTCTTCTGGCACATGAAGAGACTAACCTGGCTAGTATGGCTTTATAGGCAGAATATACTTCCAAATGCAACGTCTGCTGTTGAAGCCATGTCCAAGAGCAGGGTTTTGTAATCCCGTTTAAGTAATTAATAGCTTCTACTCAGGAGGAGCCTTAATTGTGATTGGCTTTTAAGACTGGTAGAAATTGGGTTGAAATACAGATTCTTTCTTGATTTAAATAATGTATAAACCATAAACATGCCTGCAGGTGAAAAGCAGCTCAGCCCGTCTAGGAGTGTGAGTGTTTAAAGATAAAGCTTTAATTTATGATAACATACTGCATGCATTTTTCAGAGTCACTTTTCATTTACCGTCTGAATAGAGAAATCACATTTGAACAGTTCAGTTTTGTATATGTTTAGAGCTGTATTTTTCTCCTGCAGGGTTACCGGCTACCAGACTCGGTACCTTCTTGGAGAACAGAGTCAATGATTTCCTAAGACGACAGAATCACCCTGAGGCAGGAGAGGTTACAGTTAGGGTGGTACACGCATCTGACAAAACTGTCGAAGTAAAACCAGGAATGAAAGCAAGGTATGTTCTTTCCATTTCTAATTTTGCTTTCTTTTGGGGGAGGTGGAAGCTATTTGAATTTACTTACATGCAACTATTTTGAAAAAACAGACTGTTGTATTCAAAACCTCACCACTGACCAGTTCTTGACAAACAGACGTTACTGCAGCATTTAATTAGTTGTGATATGTCATCTTTTTCATAGTAAAAAGTAGATGCCTTGTATTTGAGTAGTCTGTAAGCATTTAACTTTAAAATTGCACTAAAGTTACACTTACGGTAGCCCTCAATCGTTGTTCCTTTTACCTAGTGACATGTATTCTCTAACATGTGAATATATTCGGTATTCCTCTTTACCCTCTGTAATCTGCAGGTTTGTAGATAGTGGAGAGATGGCAGAGTCTTTCCCTTATCGAACCAAAGCGCTCTTTGCCTTTGAGGAGATTGATGGTGTAGACTTGTGCTTCTTTGGGATGCATGTACAGGAGTATGGCTCAGACTGTCCTCCCCCCAATCAAAGGTGAGGAGCTGCATGAAAGTTTATTTTGGTTTGGTACTGTCTTAATTGAGTGAACCTTCTGAAGTCCTGTACAGAGCTTCGGTGTTGCATATGTGAAGACTCTTAGTGCTGTTAGCTTCTAGAAACAAAGTTGTTTGAGGGGAATATGTTAGTGTCTCTTCTTACTGGGGATGCTGGCTGGCTGGCAGTGTTGCCTTAAGGATCAGTTGTCGGTATCCTTAAGGAAGGCATTGGATAGTTTTAAGAGGGATGAGGCTAGGATATCAAAAGAAAGCTGAGTTTCTAGAGGTAAATTAGGATCAGACACTTTGAGGATTGCTGTTGTACTGGATGCTTCAAATGTATAAAATAACGTGAATAAACTTGTAGAACTACTTTGAAATCTCTGCTTCTCATTCTGCCTTTTTGGTTTGTTTTGGGTTTTTTTTAGGCGAGTGTATATATCTTACCTCGACAGTGTTCATTTCTTCCGCCCTAAATGCCTGAGGACTGCTGTCTATCATGAAATACTAATTGGATATCTAGAATACGTCAAGAAACTAGGGTAAGTCTTTTTTAATGTTTTCTTCTGTACAGCATTTGTGCCGGGTAGTTCTTATTGCAAGTGAAATTACTACATCCTATTGTGCAGAATATGGTGCCTGAATATCAACCAGTGATCGAATAACTTGACAACAACTGTGTATGCTTGAAAAGGAGAAAAACCAAAAAGGGATTGCAGGTTTTTCAGGAGAGGCTTATGCTTCAGATACTTTTAGGTTTCCAAACTTATGTAAAACTTCCTTGAGTCTTAAGTAGAAAAAGTGGGGCTTTTTTATCTGGACCGTAAAGTTTTGCTGGCCTTGTTGATAGTGCAGTCCTTGTGTAATGCCACTGCTTTAATCAGGTCATTCCTTTCGGCTGGCAAGTTCTTGCTCGTGTTTATAAGGAGAAAGATAAGTATGTTCTGTCTGTACTGATTAACTCTGTAACAGCTGTGTAAGGCCGCTAAGAAATATCTTCTAGAATGAGTAGCTGAAATTGTGAGAAACCGAAAAGTCAGAGAAAGAGGAGAGTATACTTGGGACAGCACAAAAGCGAACACAGAACAACTGAAGAAATGAGAAAGGTGGAAACTAAATGAGCATGATTACTGAAGTAGAAAAGGCAGTGAAGTAAACATTACTTTACTGTCAAAGCTATCTGGTGTAGCTTGGCAGAGAGTAATTCATGAAGAAATTGTTAGGGACTATGTTTAGAGCAGTTGCGTGAGAAAAATTAGGGGAGTCAGAATGGAGGTGGGTGGTACTGCCTTCAGTACCTCAGTGAGATGATATATTCTTAGTACTTTGAAGGCATACGTTAGACTTCTTTCTGCTTTTTTTTATTGTGTATTTTCTAACCTGTGAGTCTCTAAAATTGCTGCATGGAGCTCAGGCCTCAGTTTTACTTAATGCTGTTTTCTGTGCTAATGGGTAACATCAGGTTCTCATTTTGGGAAAACAATATTGGTCGTGCAGTATCATCTCTCCCTCCTCAGGCAGAAGGAATGACAACTGGCTGCAGTTCCCAGGGGTTGGGTAGGGTTCTGCAGAGCTGTTTCTCAACATGGCAAGGATGGTTATTTTCTCTAACTTGAGATCTGATTATTCCTCCTACTGGAGATCTTATCAAAAACTAATTGAGAAGAACTGAGGATGAAGAAGTGATCGTTGTGGTGCTGTATTCTCTGCAGCCACCACTGTTTGGATGTCATCTGTCTTCATAGTACTTAGATTGTACAGACAATAGCATAGGTTGACAGTGACTGTTTATTCCCAGATATAATTGTGAAACCTTTTAAAACTGATCCTCAAAGTTAAAAACCAGAAGATTTACAGTAGAAAAGGGAATCATGTGTTTAAATCTGGTTTTAAAATTGTGCTAGATCATGAATGGCTGCACTCTCTCAAGGAAGAATAATTCTGGCTACCGAAATACCTAGCCTCCATCATTCTTTTATTAGTTAATTGGGTGGTGGCAATTGCAGGTCTATATCAGGCTTTGATTTCATCTAGACTGGAAAATGTGCACACTTGATACAAACTACTCCACATATAACGCTGAATTTTAAAAATTAGTGAAAAGATGGTAATGCTGTCGCGTGAGTGAAGCTGGAATGAATGCTAGAATTGAAATCTTGGAGAGCTGTAATTATTGTCCATCTGGTAACACCAGCCAACTTTGTGGTGGCTCCATCTCGTGGCAGAGAGGAGAGCAAGCTCTCGTGTTAATCGTCAGAGCCCACAGGGACTTTTTTTTTCTTTCATGATGCCAGGTATACTACTGGACATATCTGGGCATGCCCGCCTAGTGAAGGAGATGACTACATCTTCCACTGCCATCCTCCTGACCAAAAGATACCCAAACCCAAACGACTGCAAGAGTGGTACAAAAAGATGCTGGACAAATCTGTGTCGGAGCGCATCGTGCATGATTACAAGGTTTGATAAGTGTGTGTTTGTGTTCGGTGGGAGGAAGAGTGTTGCCCAGTCTTGTCTTCTTTCTTCCTTGCCTTATGCACTGTGCCTTATTCTTGGAGCTTACCGTATTAGTTTCAAGTGAATCGAGCACAAGTTTCAAGTGAAAATATATCCTCTTCAAAGTATGTAGCTTCTGAAATCATTCTAGCAAGAGATTTGAAATGATTCCTTAGAACTGTCCTGGTTTGGCTAAAACAAGACCAATTCTCCTTTCAGCAGATTTTCCTTCAGTGAAAAGTTTCTCTGAAGTAACTGCGCTTTCTGAAGTTGGCGACATGTTTTTCACACAGTGTCTGCCTTCAGAATTGATAAGGCTTGATGTTTATAGTTGTGGCTAAAGTAAGGGCACGACTGGTATGCAGAAAGGCCCGTGTTTATACTTTCTCCTGTGGGAACCAAGGTCACTGCTGGCTCTCTTACGGTCCACAAGTGAAAAGGCGTAAAAGGGTTGCGCCTGCGGGAAAGTGCGGACGGAACAGGTGACCAAAAACTGACCAACGAGCTGTTCCATCCCATCCACGTCATACTGGGTATAAAGCTATGGGATCACGGGGGTCAGCCCTCTTTCCTTCATGGCCGACCTCCCTGTGGGACCCTGCTCGCTCTCCTGCCTGCCCGATCCCGATCCGTGCCTTCCTGAATCCGGTTC